CAAACTCCGAAGCAAGAAGAATGATATGACGCCACAAGTGTCTCCTTAACGAATTCCATTTCCAAGTAAACATTCCCGGCACCGAACGCCACTTCGTGATGACAGCCCGGAGGAAACATAAACACCGTACACCATGCACATTTCTCTTGTCCCCTTCGTTTTAAAATCTCTCCCCACCCCTCTCTCTCCCTCTTTCTACCTCCCTCTCTCTCCCCCTCCCCCTCTCTCTGACAAAGGCACGAGTGTCAATAGAGGTCGATGTCTTGTTATCGCCATCTTTGTTTTGCTTTCTACACTTTAATTCAAAACAAACGACCGAACCCAGAGCAGCCAACCGCCGACCCTGCTCCCTTTGTTTTTAAAAATTTTTAAATACTCTTGCTTTTCATGGACTGAGGAATAACATGCCTCACCTTCCCAGCATCTGATTTTCACACAGTTCTAGCACCGATTTGTACCCAGAAGTTGTTTTCTGGAAGGCTTAAATAAACAGGACGAATTCAGTTCACTGAAACGCAAACAAATGATTTTAAAATTATACATTGCTCTATTAATTAATTTTACCATTAGAACGTAACTACCTTTCTCAGTCTTATTTTTTTTAATGAGATGTAATTGTTTTCTAACTCATTTTCACCAGGAAACCTATTTGACTAAGTACCTTACTTATCATTTCTTTAATCAACGCCAGAGAAGAAATGAAAGTTTATGACAAACACTGATTCATTTCACTTGATAAAATTAATAGGAAATCAAATTAAGACGCTTGAGAGAATTTTAACATTGATTAAATTATTTAAATTAAAGCTTAATTTATTTTAGAGCGTTAATTCGGAGTCAACCTCAAGTGAAATTCTGTTTAATAGCGCCTTTTTTTAATTAAATTTTATTGGATAAAAATAAATTGCCGTAGTTTGATTTATCATATACTTGTAATTTGATTGGTCATTACATCTTACGTAAAAATGTTCTCCCTAGTGGGGTTAGTGGTTGGTTTTGAACTCTTTAAAAAAACTTTTTGGTTTTACAATCAACACCATCACTTGACAAGACACCAGAAGAGTTGAAACAAAATGGCTATTTTTGTAGACATGCTATAACATACCTATGTTGTAATTTTTAAATAGATATTATTTAGACTCAGTCTATATTTCTGAGATGAGGTATTATGTACATTATTTACATTATTCGGACTATTGTGCTCATCTTTGTCGCCATATTTATCACAACGTTTCAGCCGTTGTACGCTCCGGCCTTCTTCAGGTGGTTGGAATTTCGAACTGAACCCTTTATTTCGCTCACTGGGGTAGACTGTTCTAGTTTCACGTGCCATGTTTGATGGATGTCAGTTATCAGTTATCTCCTGCTAATTTCCGTCTGATAATTTCTTATAATACCCAGAAATTCATACCCAGATGTCCTCAAGGACACATGGCACAGTGGATAAAGGCGTTGGTTAGATCCAGTAACAGGACCTAAAGAGTGTGAGTTCAATACCTAGCTAAGGCAGTGGAGAACTTTCAGAGGGTGACATTGGGAGGTGTCGATGGTTTGCTTGTGCTAGTCATTACAAGTCATCGTGACCGAGTGTTTGAACGTGTTGGCTTTGCTCAGATTGTTGATAACGCTAGATAACGCGCTCTCTCCCAGAAACTAAAGTCTGCTCTGTGGGTGTTGAAAGAACACATATGTGCCTGAGCGGGCGTCTGCGTCTAGCCGCCCTAGTATACAGGTATCCTCGGATAGGAGTGGCTAGCCATCATGTGTGCATATAATTCTTACGATGTACACGCACACACAATTCTTACGATGCATACGCACACACAATTCTTACGATGTACACGCATACATTCATTACGCATACATTCATATTAGGAGCTGTGTCCCTTCAGGATATGATCGATGATAGCTCTCTACAATTCCCTGTACTTTGTAGCCTTTATTGCTATCTCTCATAATCCCTATTCTACCAAATATCGTTAGGTAGGTTGTACGTTGATTTCAATTGTCTCCTTTGCTTTTAATATTCCCTGTCGGTGTCAAATTTTATAAGCCAACTTTCCTCATTATGTGCCCTAAAACTTCCATCACTCGTTTTATAATTCTAAATTTTTTTTTGTTTCTATTTTCTCTAAATCTCCGTCCTTGCTTGCATTATATTCTCAGTATCCTTCTGTAGAACCATTGGTGTTTTCTCTAGTCACTGCTTCATCGGTGTTGAGATTGTCCCGCCTTCACCGCCATATAGGAGGACTGATATTAAGTAAGTGTTCAGTACTCTTTTCTTTGATTCTAACGAAATTTTCCTGTTTCTTAATACTTTGTTGAGCTTTTGGAAGACATCTTTCGCTATGCCAATGCGTCTTCGAATTTAGCGGTTACATTTTCCGTCCTCTGTTCAAACACGTCCCAGATATTCAAATGTTTGTACTTTTATGGTTTTAGTGTCTCTGATTTGTCATTTACATGTTGGGCTGCTGCTTTTTAGTGACATAATTATACATTGGCTTCTTACATTTGATGTTTAGTTCTTTCTTCTTGTTTTTCTTTACAACGTTCTGTAGGAGTTCTTGTACAATATTTTCTTTGTCTGCTATCAACACTCTGCCATCTACATATCTAATTCTAAGATTGTGACCATCAATAATAAATCCTGGTCAGTCAGTTATGTACCATGCATAATACACGCTTAGACGATCATATATCTTTCGATACATCACTGACGAGGCAGATTTTTTCTCGCATGAGGTTGCCATTTCTTTCTGCCGTAGACCAGTTGCCATCCAAGGCTATAGAACCAAATCTGTCCTGCTATTTACCCATAGCTGGGGAGAGAAGAAGAGGATTCATACCTTTCCCAAGGAGGTATTAGCACGTAAGTGAATATAATGGATTCGACTGGAAAGTCAGTCAGTCAGTCAGTTATGTGTCATGCATGATACACGCTTAGGCGATCATTTATCTTTCGATACATGATTGATGAGACAGATTTTTCCTACAGTAGGTTGCCATTTCTTTCTGTGGTAGACCAGTTGCCATCCAAGGCTATAGAACCCAGTCTATCCTGCTATTTACCCATAGCTGGGTGGAGAAAAAGAGGCTTCATACGTTTCCCAAGGGTATAGCACGTAAGTGAATGTAATGGATTCGACTGGAATTCGAACTCGGCTCTCCGATTCCTCAATCCGAGCCGATGTCTTTTCTCCCGGTATAACATCTGTATTATTAGGTGTGTGCAAAAGTAATGACGTAATAATGTCGTTTTTTGACGTTTTTTTTTAACGTCAAAAAACGACATTATTACGTCATTATTTTTGCACCAACCTAATATTATAATATTCTTTCTAAATAAATCAAGCTTGCCTAACAGTTCAAACAGTTCTTTGTGACACACGTTATCCAACATTTTGCATAATCCACATAACATAGGTACACATCCTTCTGCATTTGCATTGCTCTTTTAGATATGATTCTGAGCATGAACATTGCCTTTCTTGTTCTAGTGTCTTTAACGAAAACCACGCAATTCTTGTTCTATTCCTGGTGTAATTTCATTGCACTCTCTCTTCATCAGAATTTGGATAAATATATGTAATCAAATGTTAATATCAATACAGTAGTTCACCGCTATAGCCTTTGGGTCGGAGATAGCCAACCCGCGCTGCAAGTAAATCGCGGTAGCTGTAAGGGGGTGATAATAGAAAGTTAAACACCTACATGTTTTTTGGGCCCTATTTCGCCTTATATACCATAGATAATGGCTTGAAATAACCTAAAACATTATATTAATTTATGCCAATGAATCCATAAGGAATTTCGGGTAATTTGCTTTTTAAGCCCCGTACTAAGTATCCAATAAAAATGTCCAGAACAGTTATTTTTTATTCTAAATTTACATGCCTAATTCGAAAATAACAATGAATTTTTTATAAAATCTACCTTTTTGGGGTTATTGACAATAACAATTCGGACTTATTCGTGTCGTTGTCGGCTACAGCACGGCAGCCATTATTGGCGTTGTTTGCATCAGTCCGTGCGCAATAATCGAAACAAGTGAATGTCTATTCCATTTACTGCGGATAGGTGGTGGACCGCAAGATTTTGCTCTCTTGCCCTCAATATCGCTCACCCTATTTCACCAATTTCTGGGCGACCTTCTTCATGATAGACAGAACAAACAGCAATCATCAGATATGCAAGCCACGCCAGTAATGGCGGCCGCGATGCGAATGAGTCCGAAATTTTATTGTCAATAACTCTAAAAAGGTAGATTTTATCAAAATGTATTTGTTATTTTCGAATTAAGCATGTAAATTTACACGTAAATATAACTATCCGGGAAAATTTTATTAGATACTTAACGCGGAGCTTAAAAAGCAAATTACCCGAAATTTCAACTTATTTCAGTGTTTTATAGCAGATTTTTTATACAATAAATTTTAACTGTTCTCAGAAGTGCTTCCTCTAGCAATTCTCGATTGCGACCCCTAATTATTACGCGCTATTTATATTTGTTTATTTATGAGAGATTCTTGATTTAAATTGAACGTGATCAACCAGAGAAAAGTACTCCTATTTATACCCCATCCGTGGTATCTGATTGCAGTGATTGAATTCCTGTTAATTAGTCCGATATTATAGGAACTCTTCGATCGCGCCGAAATAGAAATATAAAGTAATCATGTGTAATTATTACCAATAGAATTGGATTAGATGTGAAAAGGCTGAGGTGATAAAATTTCGCAAAATTTGGGCTGTTTGATCATCAAAATCAAGGTAAAACAGGTGAAAAAGGATGCAATTATTAAAACAAATTAGGACCTACCTGATGATTGCTGTTTGTTCTATCCTGAAGGTGTCCCAGAAATAGGGTGAGCGATATTGAGGGTAGGAGAGCAAAATCTTGCGGTTCGCCACCCACCCGCGGTACAACGGATACCACGGTAAACTGGTTCGCCTAATAATGGTGGACTACTGTATGTAAACCAAAAGATGACTGGTTAAATAGGAACACCGAAAAAAAAAACCGGGGGAGAGAGGAGGGTAAAAACAGAGGGCGGGGAAGATATGTGTAAACAAGAACAAGAAAAGGAGAATAGAGGGGCATATACAAACAGAGAGAGAGAGAGTGAGACAAGTATGAACAAAGGTCGTGGGGAGATATTGGTAGGTAAGAAAGGAGTAAAGAAGGGACAGACACAAATATAGGAGATGGGGAGAAAGACACAGGTACAAAAAGAGGGAAAGGAGAAAGATCGACATGCACAGAAGCTGGAAAGGGAAAGAGAGAGAGATTGAGAGAGAGAGAGAGATTGAGAGATTGAGGTATGAACAGTGAAGTGCAGGTAAGAACGAGGGTGATCCAGATAGGCAGGTACGAACGTCAGTGTGCACAAACGGTACAGAAAGAGAGAGGGAGAGAGAGAGAGAGAGAGGGGGGAGAGAATGAGGCGAAAAGATAGGAACGAAGAGTGGGTGCAGATAAAAACGAGAGAGAGATAGCCTTTGAGAAGCAGGCACGAACGGCGGAGTACAGAGAGAGAGAGAGAGAGAGAGAGAGAGAGAGAGAGAGAGAGATAAAGATAGAACTAGAAAGAAGAGAGAGACAGACAGACAGAACTAAATATATATAGACAGAGAGAGAGATGGGGATATATATATATATAGAGAGAGAGATGGGGATATATATATATAGAGAGAGATGGGGGATATATATATATAGAGAGAGAGAGATGGCTGAGGAGACACGAACCACGAGGTACAGGTAAGAAGGAGAGGAGCCAGAGAGATTAGCAGGCACGAATGTTGGAGTACACAAGCGGTACAGAAAGAGAGAGACAGACAGTGACAGATTCACAAACGGAGAAGAGAAAGAAATGAACTGGCGCGAACGACAGAGAGAGAGAGAGAGAGAGAGAGGGGGAGGGAGAGAGAGAGGCAAGCACGAACGGCAGTGTGCAAAGAGAAAGATAAATAGAGGGCAGTGAGAAAGATAGGCAAGAGTTGTGTTCACCAGAGATAGAGAGAAAGAGAGAGAGAAAGAGAGAGAGAGAGAGAGAAAGTAGATACGGACATAGGAACAGAGAGAGAGAGAGGTGGGAGAGAAAGATGTATCAAGTGGAATGTGAGTGAGAGGTGGGCATGAACAAAGGAGCAAAATAAAGAGAGGGGTAAGCATGAAGTGTTGGGAGAAAAAGTGATAGATAGGCAGGCACGAAAGGGTGCAAGAAAGAGAAATAGATTGACACAAACATGGGGTGAGAGAAAAATTCATAAAGTAGATTGAAAGAGAAAGAAAGTAAAAGAGAGAGAGAGAGAGAGAAAGAGTTAGTTGCCTATAGTTGTAAGATAAATTTAATAGAAGAAAAACAAAAAAATCCCATTAACACTTTACATTTCATTATTTTTACTCTCGAGTAAAAAAAATAAAATAAAATAAGATAAACAAAAATAAAAAATGAAATAAAACAAAAAAAAAAAAAAAAAATTAAAAATAAAATGTAATAAAAATTGGCCCAAAGATATTTTTTTTTTCTTATGAAAAGATTTCGGCAAAAATATTTTGTTTCTTTGAATGTCGTCAAATCTGCTTCCATTTAATTCTATTATAGACTTAATAGACTTTAGATTTTGTCTGAAACAAAAGCCGACAAGCAACATAGATTGGGCGTCATGCAATACAAAAATCCATTTTATTCACCCCCGGCTCTATGCTGAGATGTTTTGCTTCTTTTGTCTTTCAAATGTTCTCGAAGCGAACATAAATTCAGATCGATTTACCGCCCAAGGACAATAACAAAATGTTAAAAAGGAAAAATGATTTTCTTCGAAATTAAAAAAAAGAAAAGAAAAAGAGTATGCATTTAAATCCCATCTTCAAATATAAGCAATATATAATTGCAGGTGCACGTTATGCACATAAACATATGCACAGACTTTTTGTGGTTGTTTACATCAGCACGTGGTTTATGGAGATCACAACAACAACAATAGGGATAATAGCGTGCGTGTAATAATGCACATAATACGTGCAAACATATTGCCAGAAAAATATATACATATACGCAACTGTATGTATGTATATATAGTTGAATATACACACATACATACGCCTGATTTTATGCACCTGGTGTTTATCTTTAGTGCGCAATACATTACGCACAGACACTTATAAACACACGCAGATATATATATATATATATATATATATATATATATATATATTCTTTTCTAGCAGTGAGAATTGTTACTCTCTCCACTTAATATTTACTAACGTAATCTTCTGACGAAGTTTTAGTTGAAAGTCTGGAAGAACAATGCTATCTTGCGTTTTCAAATCTCTCTCTCTCTCTCTCTCTCTCTCTATATATATATATATATATATATATATATATATATATATATATATATATATGCAGGTGTGTTTTTCACAATATATATCACACATGGACACAGATATAGATGCTAATAATGATGTTTTTATCACTTTAATGTTTAAAA